TGGATTGAAACTGGCACATGTAGTTTTATGATTTTTTTTGGTGTAGGTCCCTACTATAAATGCTAAAGGAGCTGGATCCTCAGCTCTGGAAGGTCGTAGTGGTTATGCCTCTGCTATATCAGATTCACCTAAGTTTACATCTGGCGACTATATTTCTTCATCAGGCCATGGATTTGGTCAAAAAAGTGATCAGATATACGAGAAGATTTCTGATTATCTTTCAGCGGACAGAAGGCAGTACAGTGAACGGCAAGGTGGCTAATACAGGAAGGGATTTGCAAAGTGAACCCGCTGGGCGATATGCTGATTCTGTTGGTTTTGGTCATCAACACCAGGTGTCTTATTCTCATGATCTTTTTGGCAAATTTGCTAATCCTGGTGCCTGTTAATATAAATAAGCAAATTTGCATTTGCTTGTTCATATTCATGATTACCATATTAATGGGATTTATCCCTTTCTATTATATTTTGCAACAGTCTTAAGACATATGATCATGTTGAGCAGGTATCGCTTCTTCGACAAGAACAATTATTGAAAACTCAATCGCTGCAATCTGCGTCACTTGATGGCGGTTCCAGGTATTCTTCTTTAAGTATGTCCACTTCTGTATGTGTTTGCATGAAATGTATTTTGTGTTTGGCAATTCTGCTTCTGTTTCTGTTTTTTTCTTAGTACCTCTAATCATCCCTATTGATTTCTGCCTCAATAGACAAATATATATGGTATAGTCCCCTGACAGCTATGCTAGATGGTGTTATGTTTCTTACAACTAAGTAGCAACAAATTTCTGGCAGACAAGCTGATTATCTTGCAGCAAGGAGTGCCGCTGGTCGTTCCTCTCAAGATGTTATACATTATGGAGGAAGAGCAGATGCTGAATCTCGAAGCTTAACAATGCTTGGTGCTTCTTCATATGGTGGACAGAGTACCCCATCAATATTAGGGGCAGCACCACGTAGAAATGTGGATGATCTCACATATCAACAAATTTCTTCAAATCCTGGTTATGGAGTGAGCCTACCCCCGGGCAGGGACTATGGCACTGGAAAAGGGCTTCATAGTACATCTGTTGAGGTGGATTATCAAGTGGTTTGCTGTCACGGTCGCGCATTGAGGAACAAAAAGATGATAGAGCTAGTTATCTTAGGGAGTTTGAGCTAAGGGAAGAGGAGCGTCGACGGGAGCATATGCGTGCAAGGGAAAAAGAAAGAGAAAGAGATAAGGAACGTGAGCGGGAGCGTGAGCGTGAACGTGAACATGAACGTGAACGTGAACGTGAACGTGAACGTGAACGTGAACGAGAGCGGGAGCGGGAGCGGCAACGAGAACGAGAAAGAGAACGTGAAAGGGAGCGGATAATAGAGAGGCGGGAGAAAGAAAGGGAGCGACAACGCAAACTTATCCTTGAAATCAAGAGGGAACGAACTCCACTTAGAGTGTCAAGAGAGCCACGTGGTTCGTCTTTGACCAAGGGGAGATCTGTGCGACGGGACTCTCCACATCGTGAAGCTTCGCATAGGTGGATCTTGATGTCTTATGTTCAGTCCTGTTCTAGTTTT